ATAACCAAAAAAATCCACTGCTGTCAAGTCGTTCCGACTCCAGTGACCCTATAGGACAGAGTAGAACTGCCCCATAGGATTTTCCAGGCTACAATCTTTATGGAAACAGACTGCCTCATTTTTCTCCCATGGAGCAGCTGATGGGTTTGAACTGCTGACCTTTCAGTTAGCAGTCAAGTGCTTAACTCCTGTGTCACCATCTTTAACTTCCCAGTCAGACTCTCATAGAGAAGGGCTGTGCCTCCCAGGGCGGCCTGGGGTGGAGCCTGGGCCTGCTTCTCTGACCCCAGCTGCACACTGACCACAGCCAGCCAGTGTGCAACCAACCCCACCCCACTCCTCTCACCAACTCCTTGAGGGGTACACGTGCTCCCATCTTACTGATGGGGAAGCTGAGGTTGGACAGGAGAAGAGACCTGCCCAAGGGCCCTGGCCCAGTCCTTGCTCTTCCCCTTACAGCTCAGAAGGAGACTCTGCTTAGGGGAGGGGAGGGGCCTGCAGCCAGATGGGAGTGGGGGCTCCTCCTGGGGTCCTTGCAGTCCTCTCCTGTGGCCGGGGTTCAGCGTGGGCCTGACAAAGGCCTGTTTGCTGCACCCACTCATCCTGTCCTTCCTCTAGTCTCTCTCTCTGATTCCGTTTCTCTCTCCACAGTCACTTCTTCCTGTTGTTGTTATTGTTACGTGCCGTCCCTGAGTCATAGGGACCCCTCCTTGGGTTTCCGAGGCAGTATCACTACAGAAGTAGATTGCCCCATCTTCCTTCCGAGGAGTGGCTGGTGGGTTTGAACTGCCAGCCTTCTGGTTAGCAGTCAAGTGCCTTAGCCACTATGCTACCAGAGCTCACTTCTTGCTATGGGCTAAAAAAAAGAGACCTCGGGGCAGTTTTCTCCTATTGCCTTGGAAGAAAAGTATTAAAAAGTACCTCCTTTTGGTTCGGGAAATATGTTGAGCTTCTGAGACATGCACCTACTCTCATATGTTTGAAAACAATAATTATCAATGTCATCTGGATTCTCTGCGTCCTTTATTACATTTAATCCTCATAATAACCTGTTGAGGCTGGTACTGTCCTCACCCCCATATTGCAGCTGACAAAACGGAGGCTGTGACCTGGCCTCCGCGGGCTGGATGAAGACAATAAAGCCTCACTGGACACTCATCTCACAGCGTCTCAGCTGCAACCACAGGCGGTGGCCCTTGGAAGTCACCAAGTTCTAACGGGAATTTTTACTGCAAATTCCAGAGCAAACTGAGTACCTACAGCGACTCCCAGAGAAAAGGCATTTGGTAGGCCTGGCTGGTTTCCATAGGGTAGCTGCCCCTGGCCCAGAGGGTGCACGGCTAGCCCATGGAAGGGCCACCCACAAGCAGTTGAGAGGCAGTTAAGAATAGCACCCAGGCAGGGCAGTTCCTGGAGAAAACTTGAGCAAACATCACCAACTGACAGAAAGGCACCATGAGCTTCAGGAGGAGCCGTGGGCCAGGCACCTGCAAACAGCCAGCACTCTGAGGGGTCCGTAGGCACATGGTTTTCCTTTTTTTTTTTAAGCCCAGGCTCTTGATAGTTCCCTTGGGAACTGGGGGAGCCAGGGCCAGAACTGTGAAATAAAAGGTGGTCAGCTGGTAGCATAGTGCCTAAGGCACTTGACTGCTCACCAGAAGGCTGGCGGTTCAAACCCACCAGCCACTCCTCGGAAGGAAGGTTGGGCAAT